AAAAAAAGAAACGCTGCCTTCTCCCAATTATTGCTAATGGCATCTTCAGTTTAACATGTATAACAAGAGTGTTAATTTTCAATGCAACACCAAGTAACCAAAGTTTATAAGACTAAATGTGAGCTCTTTAAAGTTTAAATAGCTAACCTCAATTTAAGTTTTATTATTTTGAAAAGATCCTTGCAGTTGGAAGCCTTCATCTTTAAAGAGCTAACCTCAATTTAAGATTTAATCTTTGGAAAAGATCCTTGCAGTTGGAAGCCTTCCAGTAATAAAATATTACTTAATAATAGAATATATCATCAACCAAAATAATTCATGTATCACACATAATCTATCAAATAAATAACTTCTCATTTGTACATTAATCGTGCGTCAATTTCATGCCTATCAAGTCCTCAACAAACAACTTTCAAATTGATCACCTCCAACATTTAGCTTTCCTACAGATACGTTATTATATTTTGTGATTAGTTGACATGATTGAGATGAGTTTCATTGACATAACACTCACAAATTTTCTCTCCCGAGAAAATTCTTGTGGCATGATATCCACTCAAATATTCTTCAGCCTCACAACTAAAGGCTAATAAATCGAACTACAACATTAAGTAACACTTGAAACCAACGCAGGACAGAAAGTTGAATAATTAAGATCACGCTTCCTCAAAGAGAGAGGGAAGTAAGAAGAAACGTGATGTTGCCTGCTGTATCCTGTTACAAAAACTTGTATATATGCATCATATTATGATAACTCGAAGCCATGTCATTACTGCCTGCTCATCACAAATACTAAATAAATAAATAAATAAATACAAGTCCAACAATGTAATGTGATGAAAAGATAAGACAATTGCAGCTAAGTTACCTTGTAATCAGGGATACATGCCTACAAACAACTATAAATCAGCTCATATTCGAACCAGGGAAATCATCTACCGAATGATTATAGAACTACATCTAACCACGAATACTTGGATCCTAGTGATGCAATTTTCACCCATCTGGTTTAATCCTCTCATTTGTTCCCTTAACAACAAACAAGTTTTTGCTACTACAATTTCCACCCATTTAATTTTACAAATAAGGGAAACTAACAAAAAACAATCTTTCATCACTCGTAATAGCTTTGGCTGATTATTTCGCTCGAAACGTCACCTATTTGAATAATTGTTCATAATTAAGTAAGAAATCAAATTTAACCTAAAATCATTTCCACCCTTTCTACACCAGTGACCATTAATTTCAGGTATGATACCATTACTTGATCAAAATACCAGCAGTACAACTACCCAATCCAAACATGCTTAAGCTAACCTGCAATTCACGAAATATTCAAACTAATTGAAATTTTATCTCAACAACTAAAAGCTTCCGAAAAAAAAAAAAAAAAAA